CAACAGGTATGTGTTGATTCACCGCATTCAAGGCTGAGGGGATGTTTGTTTGGAAACTCAAGACGCTAAGGCGCTGCATTGCTCAAGTCTTGCGCGTGGAGCAAGGGTGCCAAGATGACACTCCACCCTGTCACTGGGTTGGGTTCAAACAAAAGGACCTCAGATAGAGGTAGGACTTTTGGTACACAGCACGAGGATGCGCGGGGTGTTATATATATATATATATGTATGAATCATAGAGAGATGCAATACATTTGCTTGACGTTTGCCCTAGCGCGGTTGGCCTCCTAGCTGAGGGACAACTGCTGCTGTGTGGCTTTGTCGCAGGCTCGCCGTTTGGACGCCGAAGCCCAGCACAAAAATACGAACCGGTGCAAGTCCACTCCAGGCAACATCTCGTGCTGAGTCCCGTGTGGCTGAAGCCTTAATTCGACGTGTATTACAGCTTTGGGCCTGACCCAAATATGGTCGTATTGAAGTGGCACAGCTTTCGCAAATTCGACCGGATGCACTCAGACACTCAGATCTGTGGTGTGAGAGAGCGAGATCATGGTTAAGAAGTGACGGTGTTTTCAACACATGGTGGTTTCATTGTTTTCAGATTGTTTCTTGCATTTCCTCGTTTGTCCTTGGTCCCCCCCTCCGAGGCCTCCATCTCCTTTGCCCTGGCGCGGGTGACGACGGCGGCCGCTGCCAGCGTGGTGAACCGGCGCGGAGTGAGTGCCGACTTCGACTCGTCTTTGGTCATAACGTTTTGCACACAGAACCTTCTGGCAGAAAGAATCACTGCGTTAAATGAAGCGCTTCACCATAGACAGAACTACTCCAAAGCAGACCCTGGCGGAGCCAGGCTGCCGCTGGAGGCTCAGGAAGAAAGGCCTGCTGCCAAGTGCCATGCGAAAGGGGAACTGTGGGAAACTTGCAGAAAGGACTCAAAGGACAAGGGACAACGGTTTGAATGGGTGTCATTCCTGCTTGGTGCAAGCATTGTTTTCGTCCGAACGACCTCTTGATTCGGGGAGGTCGCGGCCTTTTGCCAATGATCAGACTTGGATCACGTCTGCCTTGGCAGATACGGGTTTTAGCACTCAGTGACTCAGAGCGAGCACATGTTCTTTTTGTGTACATCTTCTGCTTGTAGAAACTGCACGTGTAGACTTGCCTTGGTTTCGATGCAGAAAGTGTAGGGGTGTTGCAGCCTGTGTTACCCCACATGGACAAGGAATGTTTCAAGGGGTTTCCATCCTTCACGATTGACAAGGCTTGGACCTGCACTACGACCGGGCCGAAGACTGAGCAAAAGTGTGGGAGTAGGGAGGCTTCACTTGGCTCGGGACCTGACAGTGAAATCAAGTGAGTATAGAAGAGCTATGAAGAGCTATGGAGCATGGTGCAAAGAGCTGCGAAAGCTTGTTTGTCCACGCGTGTCCGTGCTTCTGTTTTATGTTTCTTTTGCATGGGCACCAAGCACCGCTGACCAGATGCGGAGCTATTCGGTGGACGTGGCCATCCAAGAATTGGATGACAAGCGCATGCTACGAATTCGCCAGGAGGTGCGTCAACGTCAGACAGTGCTACCTGCTACCTGGGGATGGGCGGCGAGTCATCAATTCCCCAAGACTTTGCCAGACCTAGTAACTAGTAGTAACTTGGAAAACAAAAATTGCTGATTCGGGCTTTCAAGACACATACGTCTCATACTTTGTGGCCAACTGGTATGTGAATGGGGATGTTCACACGACATGCACCAGGTGTCTCCCATTGTGCTGTGGTTGGAGCTGGCCTATTTGCTGAGCCTGGTGCTTAAGACGAACTGTTTGCGCCGATCACCTGAAACCATTCGATTGAATTGTATCCCCTAAAAATTGGTCCCTCCCACGTGAATTTACATCGTGCCAACTAGGTCCAACTTTCAGTCTCATCCGGTGGAATCGGGCACTGGCAGAGGCAAGGCAGAAAAGACATGCCGGGCTTGAGGGGCCTTCGATCACCAATGGATCAAAGCATTTGAAGCTTCCGCCCCAGGAAGATCAGAAAGTCACCCTGAACCAAGCTGATACAAAACCATTATTTATCATTCGTTCACTTCCTAAGAGCATTGCTCATTCCTGTGACCTTGTAAAGAACAAGAAGAACTCACCACATACTTTTTTTTCCATGTCAACTCTCAGTCTAACTTCTTCAGCCGGGCGACCGCAACACGTCTTCGCAGTGGCCGACATCGCGAAACTAGCCCTGCGACCGTCGACCTCTTCGATTTTGCCAGGCCTTTGGGTCGGTGACCTTGACCGCAGCAGTTGCTTGGCCGAGAGACCCATGCCACAATGTCAGTCCCGCAATGAGTGAAGATACAGTGACACAAACCCAATCGTAAAGTTTCGACAGCCATCCAGAGAAAGGACAATAGGAGGTGACTTGTGCTGGGAAAATCTGAGGTTCTGATGCGCATGAACATCAACAGGCAGGTTTGTTTTGCTGTCCTTTTCTGCAGACGACCGTGGGGGATCGGCGAAGCTTGTTGCCTTTTGAATTTGTTATTTGTTGGGAGCAACCTGTCCCCCCCGTGTGAGCTCTTCAGGCTTCGACAAGTGGCGGGTGCGGGAGCTATACCTTGGGAGGCCTTTCCCTACGACAGCTTTGCAAGGATTCCTTGACTCCTGCAGAAGAACAACTTGCCAAACTTGCCACTGTGCAGGAATCTGAGGAGAAGCTCGTTGAGGCAGAGGCTTGGCCTGGCTCGTCGCAAGAGTCACGAGGATCCATACATATTTTATGTTTTTTCAGGTCGGTCTAAGTTAAGCTCCGGACCAAGTTGCAACCGAACCCACTTCAACAAGATGCTTTCATGCATGGTCGCCGAATGGACGCCTGCAAGTTTGGTGCCTTGAGCCAACCAATCGCATTGATGGGCTTCGACGATATTTTAGTTGCTCGGTGGATTCCAATAAAGCTGGAAGGACAGATCCTTTTCGAAGGATCAATTTGCGATCTGATGTGTGCAGCGGGAGTGACTCATCGCAAAGAAGGCCAGGCGACGAAGGCCACGCGAGAGCCGCGAATCGCCAGGCGAGGGGCGGACGCCTTTGGCCGCTGGCTTTGCACCGAGTCATCGTCGTCAAAGAATCTGCTCTGGAGGTGAGACTGCAGAGCCATTGGTCAGTGCATTGGTCACTAAGTAACTCCAGTACGCAGTGCATGTGCAGAAGTTTCCACCGATTCTCCGGAGTTGTGCGAACTAGGTATCGAAGGCTGAAAATGCTCTCGGCAGCATTTGTTTCGCAGCGCAGCGTCTATTTTTTTCCTTGGTTGTCCCAGATGCCATGGTAGTGTCCCCAGCAAAGCAAGTGGTTGTGGCATGTTGCAGTAGCCATCAATCTTGCAGGAAACACTGGCAGTTGCGATGGAGGGCGCAGGTGGCTGAGCAGCAATACCCTGCAGTATGAATGTGAAGTCTTGATTGATGAGTCCGGATTGCTTCGCCTGTGGCATTCTTAAACTGTGACTATTGGTTTGGGAATATGCTCAACAACATACATAAAGGTTTGGCAATCCCTGATGTATTTCAAGTAAATGATGCCAGTGGTCAGTGGTCCATAAGGAATTCACCAAAGTCATTACCTGGACCACTCTTCTTTATCATCCAAGGCACAACTTAAGTCTTGGGACAATCGTCCAAATCTGGCACAGGAAAATCATCACTCCAGAAGCGAGAATCCCCTTACAGGAATTAGTGATTCACAGTGAGGTCAACGAACACTAAGAGAGCTCCTCATAGGAATTCGACCAAAGAACTGTTCAGACACTCTTCCAGCTCAGTCAGAAATTCATGGCCCAAGCTTTTTTCTCTCTGAAGAGCCAGGCCTTATCCAGGGCGGCCTGGAGGCCTTGCGCCGCTTGGGCGAGGAGCGGCAGTAGCAGCACTTCGCGGGGATCGACGACCAGTTCCAACAGGCCCGAGTGGTGGGGGCCTGTGGGCGGCAGTTTTGTTGGTCCGTGCGTTTTCTGCGTCGGGAATTGATTGGAACACGTTTCTTTCATTTTTGGGGGATCCATTCTAAAAGCAGAGGCCTTGTCAGATCTCTCCAACGACGATCCGGAAATCACATGGCATCGCCGATAAAGAGGAAAATGGCTTTGGAGGGCTGCAAGTTTTCTTGCCCGCACTTCCAGCAAGATTGCCGATCCAACTTGGGGTGGTCAGAGGTGGGATGTTGAGAGAGGAGTTTCTCAGGAAGAGCGAGTTTGGAACTATTCGAGTCAGGTGGTTTGACAAGTTCAATTCCACAGCTTCCACAGCTTTCCGGCTGTTCAAGGTACGGTGTGAAATTGTCGGGGCTGGGAGAGCTCATGATGAGCTCATGTGTGTTTAGTGCCACTATGTGCCACTCTCACAATCGTGTCAGGAGCTCTCGGCAGGCAAGCAGGCGAGGGCATTCAATTTATGGAAAGAAGAGGGGTTGGTTTGTAATTGAAGGATTTTGGATCAATCAGTCCTTTTAGGGACTTGAGTGGTCTGAGGTCAGAAGCGCACTCAGGCTATAGTTCTCTTTTGGAATGCAGAGCTGTGCTCAAAGCTCTCAGGATGAACAGCTGAAATTCTCTACACCCCAGAGATGCCCAGACATAGTTTACCTCTCATGAATGCTGTTTGAAAATCGTCCTAGCGTTGATGGGCGTTAACAAGTTTATACATGGTTCTACCGAGCTTTACCACACACTTGACTTAGGCGCAAAAGAGATTTTGTGTCCCTCGAAGGTAATCCAGGGAAGAACGGGTCATTTTTGACACTTCTGATCTTGATTGATGAATGGATGAAGAAGAACGAACATGATCCATAAAAATCCATACGTTCCGTAGATGCTCCTCGTAAGTGATGACGAAAGACTGACACCCCTGTTCCTGCAACTATGTTTCTTTACCATTGTTTGCCTGTATCTATCTATACTGTCATATATACACAGTGTATACCATCTCTCTGACGATCCACGAGACAACCCGCAGCTCCGTTGGCTCGGCGACGACCACCCGCCGTCGTCGGACCGCGGCGCGCGCGGGGCGGAACGCGCGCCCACGTGCTGCCGCGGGTCGTGGATGTGTGATGCGCCACGACGTGCCAATGGATGACTCCCTACTTTTGATTCAAAAGTTGGCCCACAAGGCTTGAACTTCGGGGGAGGGCTGAGGGCGGGAACCGAGCTGGAGGTCTTGAGTCTCTCCTTGCTTGGTCAAATTAGCAGAGCTAGGGGTAGTCCGACTGGATATAGGGTGGAAACACATTGCACTCGAGGCCAAGCTTACAGGCTGGGTACTGTTCTTAATTATCGGCTTGCAATGGGAGATGGCCAAGCTGATTGGAGCCATATGATCAGAAACTGCAAACTCACCTCACCTGAGCCATTAGGTACAAGACAGGTTGTTGGAGTGATGGTTTTGGTCGCCTGGCCAACGGCGGCCAATAGTGACCAATGGCGGCCAATGGCAATAAGACTCCAACAGCAAATGATTGACGATTCGATAGATCTCAGCGGTTTGGTCTAATCCTCAAATCACAGAATCTTCAACTAATGCAGGGCGATCTGGGTTCTTTGACCAGTGTCAAGATCATGGGCCCACTTCGTTTGCTCGCCTTGCTGGCCAGAAATCCATAACTTCTTCCTTTCTGGAAGCCGAGACATTCGATGGAGGAGTGTCCTGCGACTGCATGGGCCGGATAGGTGTTGGCTTTTTCGAGAATTCAGAATGCCGGGGGACAAGATGCTTTTGTTGCTCGGGGAGGGCATTTTTTCCATAATTCCTAATCTCATTCACTTCCCCCTCACACGGAGGAAGCACCAAGAAACGTTGTTGGTCAAACAACCCTGTAAACAAACCTGTCCAGAGGCCGGTTTTCCTGGTTGGGCTGGGTTGACGTCTTTTTTCTTCCGTTTGGAAGGCAGTGCAAGTGGTTGTCCAGAAGTTGCGGTTTCTGCACTGGACAACAAGACCTTGGGAAAGCGAGACCTTGAGGTCCGCACTGCCACGTGCAGCTGGAGTGCTTTTTGCTCTAATGCCACTGTCTGCCGCTCGACAGAGGACTTTTCCGTGGAGTACTATTGATTTGGGGTGGGTGGAAGCTGGTGGTCTCGTTATACACTTCAGCTCCTGCATTTTCATGTTATTTATCCCTGAATTCATGTTTTGCTTGATCTCGTGATGGACCAAGTCAGGAAGGTTCCCCAGTCAGAAGTTGTGGCTGACTTGTTTTTTGCATTGAAAGCAATTTGGTACCGGCACTTACATCGAGAAACTCAATTTATCCTCATGGGCTCTCGACTGCTCAGTGCTTGGATCTAGCTTGCCCTACCTTCAAATTCGTTCCGAGCGGATATTTTTGGGTTTTATTGTATGGTCGCATCCTGGGCACCAGGGCGAAGTTTGGGTATCCTCCGTGTGTTGTGATTTTCACTTACAAAATGGTTCAAAAGAGGCACACAGTGTGAATGGCACTGAACTGCAATCGAGTGGATGAGTCATGACGGCAGGTCGCCCTCCTGGTGGTGGCTATGCTGGTGGAGCTCTTCGTCACCTCTAAGAGGCCGACGACTGGGAATCTTCCAGTTGGTATAATAATTTCGTGATGAACTCTCAAATGTCTAGAACATGTGCAGAAGGTGACACTTTGCGTTTTCACTGGATGAGAAGATCAAGAGGTCCTGCCCAGTTCATTGGAGTGGAAAAGACTTCTCCAGATGGCTGTTGGATTCCGGCTTGTTTGTATCCATCGTTTACTTGTTGCCCCACAAAGCCGCATCATATTTTCATCGCACGTTTCTTCAACAATCTAGGAACCAAATGAATCCTGCGAGGGCTCTTTCAAGGGAGCTCCCCCCCGCCTGAGCTGGCAAGAAGCTTCCTGGAAGAAGCCCGAGCTTTCCGTGCCAACGTCCTCGGTCCTCCTCACGGCCTAACCCTCCCCGAAAAGGGTTGAACAGAAGTTTCCTTGGCCAACAGAGTGATGAGGTGAGACTGACCTTTCACTGCCACTCCAAAGGCAGACGCCAACAGATCCGACGTGTTCCTGCCACCACCAGAGTCGTCGTTTGTCGGAGTAGGTTCCACGTTGGCCAAGTCGGGCTGCGATCTTTGTGGTTTCTTCTGGCACTTTGGCAGCACAGCTGGACAGCCGTTGCAGGAAGACTTGGTCGTCAGCCTTGGAGCCTGTTGGAGTACCTTAGTTTCAGAAACGTGGCTCACCCTGCGAATGCTTTGGCAAAGATGCCATGAAACCGGTGTAAGCTTGCATTCCGACTACAGTGGTGGTCGCTTGTGCCACAGTTGCAGTCCTTACTCAACAACAACAGCAACAACAGCAACAACGCTTCAGCTGTACATTTGATTTGACACAATGTGTTTTGATATGACTTGACAAAGGGAGATCAGGTCAGAGATGAACAGAAGGGCTTGTTTCCTTTTTTCCCACGTGGGCTGTTGGATTCACCGTGATTCACCTTAGGCTCACCCATGACAGGGAACGACTAATTGATTCTTCTCTGGGAGATCTTCTTATTCCTGCTTGCTTGTCTTGCCTCTGCCTTCTTCTTCTTCATCTTCTTGTTCCTGCGCCTTTCTTCTTTCTGCTTCTTTTCTCCTGCCTGCTTGTCCTCTTCTTGTTCTGCCTTCTTCCTCTTTGTTTTCCCTTTTCTTGTCATGAGCGGCTCCTTCTGAGTTGGCCTTGAAGTCCGTGGCACACCTTCTGAGCTCGACTTCATTCGAGCCTTCAGGCAGTCCTCGCCACGGTGGACATGTCAATCCTTATTCCAGTGCCTTGGGCCTTGGGGTCGTTCGTGTCAAGCCATGCTTTGCCCAGAGAAGGCCGTATCAATCCTAAATATTGACGCAAGGCCCACGTTGTTCAGGTCAGCCAGGGTTCAGCTCGAAGGCATTGAGTTGCTCTGAAAAAGTCATCTTGGACCAGTGACGGGTGCTTAGTGGGGAATGAATATGAATGAATGAGGGAATGACCCACTATGGATTTCTTGGTATTCATTCCCTCATTCCCCACCAAGCACCAGTCCATCCGTGTGAAGATCTCCTTCGACATCTCCCAGCAGCTGGGCTACGGGCCACTGGCCTCGGGCGTGATGGTGGCGGCCTCTCAGGCAGCGGAGCGCAACTGTAGGTAGACACACTGGTTCGGGGGAGCAAGCTGATTTTGGACCATTGGGTAGTTTGCTATCCAGGAAGAGAGTTGGATGAACTCGGTTTGAACCATTAGATCATTATATACATATTCCTGTGCTTTTCTTTCAGATATTTCAGTCCAAGCTTTTCCTGCAAGCTCCCTGCGAGGCCTTTCAGCCTTTTTTGGCTTTGCTTTCACGCTGGCTGGTGATCGGCCAGAGTTATCAGTACCAACGCCGCTTCATGCTCATTTGCCTGGGCCGCTGGGTCTAAGGGACGCGAGTAGGTGTTCGTTGACTTTCTATTGGACCGCACCCACCCACCCAGACACACAAATGCTTGATTCTCAAGTATGGAAGTCGTTGATCGTGGTTGATCGTGGTGAGACGTGATTTGATCCAGACATCATTTGGGTCTGTGAAGATACATGCTATCCAAACAAGATCCTTGTCCTGACGGGGTTTCCCAGTGACATCTCCCAAAAATCACACCAGTAGCTTGCTTACTCTTTGTACCTCAGGTGCTGAAGCGATCCTTACATGGCTGATGGCCCCTGTGCTGGAGGCTTGCAACCATTGGTCAGACCAAACAGCTCCTTGGGCGAAAGGTGAAGCACCGAAATGTGTGATGTATGATGCTTTCCATTGTGTTTCCTTTTTCAAATCAGGCATGGTGATTTCATCCTAAGCACCTTCGCACGGACCAAATAGGTCTCCTCGGAAAGTTTATGCAGATACCATTCTAATGCTAAACCATAAACAAAAACAACAAATGACATTAGCCGCCTCAGATCCATACCTAGGTGCTGTACCTTTTGGTCTTCTTCCGTGCGATGACCGGTGGTGTTCGGACACCCAGGAATCGCCAAGGAGATGAAACCTGATTGGTGAGGTCATTTAAGGCAATGACAGGAGCTGAGGACAAATGCTTCTCAAGCAGTGTCATTAAGCTCACAAGTGTGAAAAACATCAAACGGCCTTGCTCGGATGAAGCATCAACCGCGCTCTGTGGGTTCTTCGTACTAATTCTGCTGCGGAGACTTCAGGACAAGATCATGTCAACTTTGACCGGCAGAGTGGCCCAAACTACTGTAGGGCCTTTATTTCATAGCTTAACGGGACCCTTTTGGGCTACTCTAGGCAGCTATCAGCCAAGTCGCCCTGATGGTTTGGATGAAGCCGGGAGCATCGCAGTGGGTAGCATGCACTTCGAGCGACTCCATGCTTCTGCTGCAGACTGGGCTCTTGTCCCGTTTTGCTGTAAGGTGATCATGCTCTATGGGGTGCCACTGGCCTGCTGTGTGGCTTGATTTGATAGTCTTGGTCCATGGCTAGCAGCAAGAGGGGAGTCAAGTCTCAACCCTCAAGGGTCCAAAGGAAACAATGGAGCCACGTAGCATTAATATCCATTTATGTATCTGAATCTTTTTGCGGAGATCAGTTTGTATCCATTTGTTGAGTTTTCATGACCTTCCATCCATGCGGGATGTGACCTTGTGAGACGGTTGCTTTCAAACAGCAAAGCGAACAACTTGAGGTTGACTTGACTCTGCGACGCAACGCTTTCTCCCACTCCAGTAGATGTTTCCCAATTGCTTTTCCGAGGTCTATGATAGCGCGCCCTTGGAAGATCGTCAGTCCTTGTCGATTCGCTACTACCTGTTCCTTTCGATTGGAGTTTGTTTGGGTCCTGTCGTGAGCCGCTCGGTGTTCGTCTTTGGGGAAGGGTGATGCAGTGCTGGGCCCCACCACCACCACCGCCACCACCACCACCACCACCACCACCACCACCACCACCACCACCACCACATCCACCACCACATCCACCACCACATGCGCAGGTGTCCTTCATTTGAGGTTGCGGTGGTTGACCAGTCGTTGACCAGTCCAAGAGCTCCCTGGGCCCTGGGCTCAAAGTTTTCCAGGACCCGGGGGCTTGAACCCTAAAGCCCAAACACTGCCCGGCTGGCTGTCAGAGTTTACGCCTAGTGCGGCACAGAAAAAGGAAAAGGTGAACAAGCCCACCCCACCATCTCTGGCCTGGCTCCTAACCCCGCCGAATGATTCAACCAGGTGCCAAATTGGTGAATCCTTTTACACCCATTAGATGCTTCCTTGAAATGCATGTGCCAAAATGCCCTGGTGCCACGATTCGTGATCCAAGACCAACCCCAAATCAGCGCAGCCTGGCCTGAACATGAAGCGCTGATTCCCAAGCTCACTCGCAGCCCCACCCAACACACAACACCTGCTTCTGAATTCAGCAGTTTTGCCTGCCCATTAAAGACGACCTAGAGCTCTTCAAGGGTCAAAGTAGGCAGTTCCAACTTACTTGATAATTGCATTTGGGAATCTCCTAGTCAACGCATCCTGTAGGTAAAACCCCAACGCATGCATACACCGTCAAACCAACACACAGCTGTAATGCAAGTAAAGGGTTCCCACCCCACCAGAAAGCATATTGCAAATGGGTGCTTCGGCACTGGATCCTAGGCAGTGTGATGTTGAGCTTGCATCAAGGTGGAGCCCACCAAGCCTGTCACTTCGAGAGTTGGGATGGGTATGTTCTCTTGAATGTCATAGTGGACTTCTCAGAGGTCACCAAGGATATCAAAAGAGAGACATGTGACATTTGACCTTGAACAACTTTCATTGTATTGGCCAGTCATTGAGCACACAGATTGATTCATTGATGGTTTCCCTGTGGCTGCCATTCGCATACTTGGCAATCATTGAGGGTCAATGGCTTTCAAACAGCTTGCCAGCAAGAGGGCGATCCCAGACACAAGGAATTTCTTGAAGTGATCCGGAGTCAGGTTGAATCCTAGTGCCATACGTGTCCTTTTGGCACGGAGGTTTACATCCGTTTGACTCTTGCACTCATGACTACTCAGGTTTTACCGGGAGGCAAAGCATCTCCATCCTGGGCTTCGTGTGGTCTGCAGCCACTCTGCTGACCAAATGCCAACCGCAAGAGATCCACTGCTGGCAAGCCAAGTCGAACCGGATCCGTCCGTTCGGAAACAGGTGGCACTTTTGAGCACATGGTTACTGCCAAAAGAGATCGAGGAAACCCACGAGAAGGACAAGACCCATCATGACGAGGCTTGGCAGCTGCAAGCAGCTGCAACTCTTATGCGGTTGAGGTTCACTGGGTTCACTGATACGTAGATACTAGTAACAAGGGCATCGCTACTAGTAGCAAGGACGCTACTAGTAACAAGGGCATTTAACTCTTGTTTGACTTTGCATCTTCTTGGTGGAGTGATCTTTGTGGAGAATCCTGCAACTATTCTAGTCATTCAGGCCTCTTGTCCAATTAGTTGGGATGCCTTTTCTCGAATTTAGTTTCCTTTTTTTCGGCAAGCCTTCTCACAAGAGTTAATGACAGCGGTGCCCATCGTACTGGGAGCGTCTTCTTTTTGGCGGGAACACTTCTCAACGGAGCAATACTTTCCAGAACATCAACATCACAACCTGCTCGGGACAACCTTCCACCAACCCTTCTTTGCCTTCTGTGCGAGGCGACGGGCGAAAATAGTGCTTTGAGCTTGGCCCAGGCAGTGCAAAGGATTCCAGTGCAGACCAGGAGGGGCACGTTAGATGGTCATAGTTGGGACATGCCAGGAGATTTAGTGACGGATTCTTTGATTGTTCTGGATATACTGATAATACTGATGTGCAATCCTCTGTGTGAGCGCACTACATTTGCAGCATAGGAGTGTGGTATTCTTGCAATAGTCGTGGGGTCGGTAGATATACTATATCTGGAGTCCGAGTCTAAAGGTTGAAAGACATTGTGACTGTTCCCAGCCTATCTGGGATTCATTTCTTTTTTTTGGACCCTCCCGACATTCCTCATCAACCCCAGGAGAGCGCTAGTCATTTCCGCGGTGCTGTGCCTTGGTCACTTACATACCCTTACCAAGCTCGCTATATCCATACTACCCCTACTATCCTCACATATCCTCACAACCGGTACCATCGACTTTGCTGAGTGTTCTTGTTTATAGACAGGGGTGTATATATATATATATATACACTGGGGTGCCAAAAGTTGCGCTTCTTGACTTCTAAAACATCACAAATCCTTTCCCCTTAGAATCCTACGTGCAACATGTCGACACCTCAGTGGCGGTCGGATTTCCACACCTGAAAGCCTTATAAATAATTTAATTTTAAACGGGTGTGGAAATCTGACCGTGCTGTACCTGCCACGCAAAATGGACGTGTTAATCCGATCCGCTGTAGACTGCAAGTGTCATGTTGGAACAGAGTAAGAAGCGTAAACTTTAGGGTTCTTGAAGTATATAAGTCTATGGAGTGAGCGGCCTGACGCAGTCCTCGCATTCAACTGGCCTACAAGTCATTTCTTTTTTACCCAGGACAGTCTTGTACTAGGGGCAACCCGAATAAACACATTATCATATCTTCCGAATCCCCTGGACCTGTGCTACTTACCTTTGGCAACGACCGCTTTTTCTCTGTGAGTTCAGCACATGAGGTTCTGGTCCCTGAAGTCATAAACTTGAAATAGACACGTATTCCAATCAGTTGTCCAGTTGATTGGGAGGTTTAAAACACTTAAAAACTAGTGCTTCTCTGAAGGCCCGTGTAGCAGAGCTTTGCCCCCAGGTTGCCCACCCGCCTTCATGAAGGAGCATCGAAGTTTCTCCGGTCTTGACTCAAGAACATTGATCTGACCAGAAAGACGTCCAAGCAACGAAGTCTACAGCTTCCCTTTTGAATCCTGATAGTTGCTAAGACTATCTAACACATTCTAAAACTACATCCCACCTGGTCACCGAAAACGCCGTCGTTTCGCGTCGTGAGGTTCTCCGCCGAGAGGAGCTTCTCGATCGGCGCCATCGAGGTGGCGACGGCACTGCTGTTGGAGGTCCGCGTCCGATGGTCCAACGGGTTGGAGGTCCAGGACGGGATTGGATGGTTGAGACATGTTGGCACACTGCGACCTTTTTAGGGGGATGACGGGGATGAGTGGTTCCGTCATGCATCACAAAGCAACATGCTTTTGCATCAGTGTTGACTGTCACGAAGCATTGAACTGGTAGTCAAGGTCTTGCAGCTCACACCATGCAGCACGCCACGATAGTGCAACACTTTGCTTTTCTTTTTTCCAATCCCACTGAGGTGGAATACAGCTGGAGCTCTGAGCAGATTGGCTACGCGTTAGGGGTCATTTTCTTCATCACTGCGGTGGTGGGGGGTGTCATTGCTCTGCTACGGCGCAAGGCGACCGGCGGGGTGGGACGTTGATCGGTACGAGGGACCTGGAATTTCCCCAACGGAGGTGGGACGTGCCCTGATTTGTAGTGGACCTGGCCTTGGTGTGGAAGATCTTTCACATCAAAGTGTTATTATGTTACAGTATACATTATACATACATATTGCATATTATCATCCTAAAATTTATCTCTTCCCGAAGAAAGGTCCACCATCACTCCAAACAAGGCCTGCTTAACTGGGTGTGGTTCTGACCAGTCTAGATCAGACAACCTGCATTTTTCTACAATCAATCTCTAAAGCCTTTTTCAAGATTTTGTCCTGATTCCTTTTTTGTCCGGGAAAGAACGCGAAGCAGGTTTCTGACTATACCTTGATGCTCTCAATGGCGACAGTGAGCATCACTGGGGCAATGCTCTTCATCGACTTCGGTGGCCAGGAGAAAGGGCACAGCAGCCCCTGGCTCTTGATGGTCGCGGACGTCACAGTCTATTCTTGCATGTTCCAGCTCCTTGGAATCAGTCTAAACACGAGTTGTTTCACTCACACAGTAGAAATCCATTCGTGTCTAACAGAAGGAGAACAGTGAACTATTTTACTCTGCCAGAGAACCCAGACCAGTGAAGCATGTCATGCTGTGGATTGATGAAGCTGAAAAGAGCATCGTTTCATCCCTCTGAGGCTCACTGCCTTCATGGAAGGCATCGCAACAGAAGCAGCGGTGCCAGGAACTGCCTGCAGCCTTGAGCCCTTCAGAAGCATGCAGACCCTTTAGACTTGGTGAGGTATGCAAGACACGAGGTGGCTTGATGTAGCTTGCTTTGGGACATGATAGGCCACACCCCTCCCACGCATTCAATCCAAGTTTTTGCTGGTTGCTGACAAAGGCACTAATAAAGAGACACTTTGGGGATACTGGGGTGCTGATAGGGGTTTATGACCGTCCACAAGAGCATGGTTATATTATTATTGATTATATACATATTATTGGAATTAGTTTCGATCAATGTGCCCAATGTATTGAGTGAAACAACATGCTGAAATACAGCATGGAAGACATAACCAAGACTACCAGAAGTGACATGACAAAAGGACTACAAATACCTACAACCACAGAGAGGCAACTGCGGGAGCCGCAATAGGGAATATTGAAAGTAGTTGCTCGGTAGACAATACATTCACATCCTCATTGGATGATTTAAGCTTGGCCCTTGAATGTATATGTGTATGTATATATATATATGATTTTTTTGGTGCTTGGTTGTGGGAGTATTCAAGAAGATTTCTTGGGTCTGAAGTGATATCGGAACTTCTTATTGGTCGTCGAGAGGCTCGCTGCCCATCTGAGGAACTACATCGTGGCGCGGAACTTGGCGATCCAAATCCCTCGGGCTCTAGGGCCTCCAGTGGCCCGTGGCCTCATCGATTTGTGCGGCAGGAGTGGTTCTAGACAATAAGAAAGGATGCTGGGTCTGTGTCGATTTGGTTGGCTGTTTTAAGTTTTGTTGCACTTGTTGAGAATTAAGGATTAAGACTGAGTAAGAGTTCGAGAATTGCCAGCGTGAATGGAGATGTCGTGGTTTTGACGAACTCTGTGTGCGAGTGTTCTGTGCTTGGCCCTTTGCAGGAATACCTATGCAGTGCTGCAACTTTGCTTGTCCTCGGTTGCCATCTCGGGAGTGTGGTACGCCGCCAACACGGCGCGGAGTGATGCAGTGGTGGGAAAGCAGCTTTGAGACTTTGAGAGAGCTTCATGCTTTGGAGAAGTTGCAGGGAAAGCCGCAGGAAGAACAAAACCAGAGTGAATTGACATGCCCAGCACCTGGCCTCGAGACATGTGTGTGTACACTGTACACCTCATAGACAAGGCCAGCTGACAGTTTGTTTCTGCTTCCCCACAACTGTGCTTGGCAGACGTCTCGTGTGTCTCGATTTTAACTATATAGTTGGCCGAAGGGGAGTGCAAAGGGAGACGCGTTGAACTTACTGGTAGAGGAGGGAGGAGGCCATCGCTACTAGGGTGGAGGCCATCGCTATTAGGTTCCTTTTGCGGTTATGTTTTGTTGCAAGTGGTGCCAGCGTCCAAGTAGAAAGCCAAGGACAAAGTTCTCACGACCTGAGGTTTTGGAGGGTATTTCAGCATCCACACGCTGGATTCAACATGTTACTGGAAAGAGAAACAGGGCGATGCATGCAAGGTCAAACTTCAGTCGTTTGCATCCTCCGGAAGGAGGCAAGGATGCCATAGTTCCATTGCACATGCCGTCTCGATTCCGTTTCAGATTAGAACACCTCCACCTCCATCGCCAGTAGGTTGGAGGCCATCGCTAGTAGGAAGGCCATCGCTTCATACCCTCATAAGATTTATAAGTCAAGCTACATACCCTACTAGGAGCAAAAAGCTACTAGGGGCTCCTGGCATCGCTACTAGGAACAAGGACGCTACTAGTAGCTCCTGGCCTTACTACTAGGAGCAAGAAGCTACTAGTAGCTAAGTCATACCCTCGCAGGTTCGCTTCAGGGGCCCATCGGACTGATGGAAGTTTTTCATGCGGACCGATGGAGCTTGGAGCTTTTCCCACAGCCATAGCTTTCTTGTTTTTCAAGCCCACCCGTCTCTCACAGGATGAGGTTTGTAAGGCTGCAGAAGAGCTGTTTTGATGGACTCCTTCGACTGCACTCCCCTCATTGCTTCATTGTCTGAGTCTCTGTAGCTGCAGCTGTCTGGAGCTCCCGAGAGCCACTTCATAAACCAATAGCTCGCTGACTGACTTCCAAAAAAGGAAGATGCACTGTTCAAGAGTCAGGCCATGTTTGGCTGATTCGTCAAGGATTTTGGAGGTCAGTTGGATGTCACGGATTTGGAGTCCGCAGAAGGCGAAGAACAACTCTCGTGTCTAGGAGGTCTTGGATCTTCTGACGAACCTCGTTGGGGTCTGGTCAACGTCAAGTGTTGCCATGCTCTTTTTGACCTCTTGACTGATTCGGTGTCGAGCTTGATGGCGAAGACATTTTTCCCATCCACTGCAAGCTAACAAGCCCTAAACTTAACTTGGAACTCCCTCTCAAGTGCCTCCAGTCTCCCGTGCTATGGTCAGCCCACCAGCATTGCAGGATGTTGAACAGACCTCCGTGGCAACAGCGATGGCAGTCTTGGCCAAGACAAGGTTCTTCAACATTTTATGATTTGCACTGCAGTACATAGCTGTTGGTTAGAGAAAGCTGTAGTACTGTAGTAAGCACTGGCACTCTTTCAACCCCCAATTGGGCCTCATGCTAGTGCAACAGACGCCCTCTGCATTGGATGAAGAAACCCTACGTGTAAACTTCATCTCACTCCATCTAAACCCTTCAATTTCGACCACAGGACGATGTTCGGCACTAGCAGCCGCGCTCTTCTGCAAGCTCGAAGGATCTTGAAACGCAAGCAGGCGAGTCGAGCAGAGTGGGGACGAGACCATGCAGGTTGGCTCAACATGCTTCGAACTCTTCGGAACAAGGGTACGACATTACTCCAGGCGTGCCTTCCAGGAATGTGAACCTCAGTGAGTCTGAAAAACTTTGCTTATGTCAATTGGGCGGCCAGTAAGCTTATATAAGTAAGTGGCTACTAGGAGAAGTAGTGAAGCCCTTGCATGATTGCCTTGGTTCCTAGATGTTTGGGGACACTAAAGTTCTATTCAGTTGAACGCTTTGTCACACTCAAGAGTCATGAGAGCCTTTCTTCATCCGTCATGACTTGGAGGTCTTCCTGTTTCTCCGCGACCTATATACCAGCATTGCCCAACGCTTTGCCCGGGCGGAAGGAAGGACGAGTCATGGGTATGTGGTCCCGGTTGATGTGAAGTTCTCAAGATGCGCTGTTGTGGGGTTCAGTTGATGCATGCCAGGCCTCAGCATCTAGAGGAGAATCCTACAATTGCAAAAACTTTGTCTGGCAGAGGTTTTTGCTCTTCTGCCTGATCGTCACAGAACATCGAGAGATCAATTTTCTTTTCTTCCTTTCACCCGCTCTCCTTTCTGTTTTCATCCATCGACTCCTCTGGCGATTGTGGACAGATTTCGGAGCTGACTCCGCTTGGTTTTGCTTTTTTTCCTTTTCGGAAACCCATCGACCGCTTGTCACCGCTGAGGTGAGCGACCAGGACCAGCCAGAATGGCTCCGTGAAAGCCTCAGATGAGCATCTCATTCGGCTGCGACATTTGAAGGTTTCGAGGGTCCAACCGGTCTCAGAGCCTGAAAGGACACTTGAAGGTTGTGGCTTCGTTGCACGGCATTTTCACATAATGATATAATTTGAAGCAAACCTCGTCGCTGCGTTCATCTACAGAATATTATGTGTTCTCCACCTGTTGAAGGATAGTCAGCCGTGTGTTTAACTCGGATTTAGTTAATCTGACAGCAGATTAGTGCTTGGAAAGCTGGTGCCAGTGGAATACAACACTGGCTGCGCTGGTAATTACTCTTTATGTGGTGATTTGGATGAGATTCTCACCACGCTCGGCTCATGGTAACAATGTACCTGGGCTGAGGTGATGGGAGCCAAGCTGAGGAGCAAAGCGAGGAGGGGTCCAGCAACTTGGGCTGCGAGGAAGCCAGCAACGTCACAAGGTTTAAATATTAGTAAGGAGATACAATAGGCTTAGCAACATAAGAAACGATTGCAGTCATGAACCTGTGAACTTTAAGCGCAGCCCGCGATGCAACAGTGTGTACCGTGGAATGTCGCTCGATGCCCGTCGAGCACTTGTTGGTCTCAAAAGAAACTAGTTGCTTTGCATCCTAGGCAGCAGTGACGCTGAGGCGTGGTGGGCACCCTCATGTAGGAAGTGGTTGGCAGTACGTCCAAAGAACCCACACTGTTGTGCACAGAGCCACTACTTCATTGCTTCACTGGAGCTGAAAAGAAGCACATGTTCAGAATCTGGAGGGGCCATTTGTTCGTTGATAGAAACTCCGCGTAATAGCTATGTCACAGCTGCTACCTTTGTTGTTCTCTCAAGGAAGTCGATTTGGATGACGATGACGAGGACTTGATGATTCATGTCCGGGGTCTGCAGCCTGTCGGGCGGTAGACGTCGGTAGCCTTTTTCGAGCTTTGAAATTATGCCCTACATGGCCCCGATACTTGGCATTCCAGACATCTTCTTTTTGGTTGAAGCAGCATCACAGCATCAGGTCCAGATCCATATTCAGAAGTGCTAGTGCATGCTAATGCATCTTGCCATGGGTTTTTGCGGATCCTTCAGCAAACTTCAGTGAGGCACCCCGCGAAGTGCGTGAGCGTTTGGATGAGAGCAAGAAGCCGCAAGGGCTAACCATTATCAAGGCCTGAAAGCCTTGGGCAGAGTCTCAATCTCGGGAATCCCAAGTTTACGACCCGGAGTTGCTGGACTTTGGACAACTAATTTTGGATGTCACACATTTGAGGAGAATAATGGGATCTTCTCCTGTCATTTCCCTTCCAGCCGTGCTAAATTGGTTTTTGGTCTTGGAGCCTTGCGCAGTACTCCCTACTCCCTGCTGTGATGTGCAGGTGCTGGGTCACTTCTCGGAATATGTTCACTTCTCGCAGATGGCCTTGATGTGTATCCAGGTCCCGCTACTCAGGTTGCAGCTCCTACCGTGTGGGGGGCGCTTTTCAACCCGGCCCTTGACTTGTAGATATCATAGCGATGGCCTCCACCTAGTGGCTTATTACCAGTAGTAATGGCCTCCAACCTAATAGTTATGGCCTCCACCTACTAGCTTCTTGCTACTAGTAGATTATCCCTTCCCTGTGCCTGGGATGCCTTACCTGGGAGAGCTTGTCTTTCCCTAAAGGTGTCTAGGCGTGCCTCGACTGACGTCTAAAGTCAACAAGATCCATTCTGGTAGTGATCAAAGGGGACAGATCACTACCAGATATTTGAGATATGCAAATCCAAAGGTCCTACAGTTCTCCGTGATAGGTCGTGTTGTCCAAAGCCCGCAAAGGCCGCCGTCTTGTGACAGCCAGGTTCTTGGAGTGATGTTGCGGACAGCTCGGGCGCCCGCACGCTCATAGGGCCTGATGTTCCTTGTCTTCTGATTCTAGTTACTAGAACACTTTATTGTTACTAGTAACTAGTAGCGATGGCCTCCAACCTAATGCGATGGCCTCCACCTAGTAGTTTCTAGTTACATTGTTTTTTTTTTCCAGATAGCTGCACACTATAGGGGTTCTTATTTTTCAATGACTGGGTGGCTCATCGGCAGCCTTGTCTCCCCACTTCTCTGGACTTTTTGTGAATGACACTATTTGATTTTTTGTCTCAGGTACTTCTGCTTTTAGAGTTAATTGCTATTTGGGGTCTATGCCGGTGTAATTGCTTTAAACGATCTTTAAACCGTTCAAGTTCTTACCTAGCTCTTATATATCTTCCTCATCCTCCTTCGCCTCCTTCATTTTCTTCCGGTTGTCGTTGCCGTTCAACCTGCGCACAGCGAAAACCAGCAGGGATTTAGGATGTGCTGTCATAAATTCATCATAGAATCCTTGGCCACGCTCTCGGATTCTGATTAGTAGCAACGGGCATGCAAGGACGCTACTAGTAGCTCCTGGCCTTACTACTAGGAGCAATGTTCGCTACTAGGGGCTCCTGGCATCGCTACTAGGAGCAAGGACGCTACAAGTAGCTCCTGGCATTGCTACTAGGGGCAAGGACGCTACAAGTAGCTCCTGGCATTGCTACTAGGAGCAAGAGGCTACTGGAGCCAAGGCCCTCCGGGTGAAGAGCAATGCCACCAGCATCACAATGCGC